ATATATATATATATGTGTGTGTGTGTGTGTGTGTGTGTGAGTGTATGTGCATGTGTATGTGTGTGTCTACATATATACACACTGCAGGTGGGGGACTCAAGCCACATGACTTGACTTGGGTCAGACTTAAGTTACAAATCTTATCTTCTCTGTATTTTTACTTTTATGGAATCAGTACTGTATCGCAATAACTTTACCTATTAGAAGTGTGAACTGTGAGGTTTAAAGTCCTTTAATGACCAAATATGTGATTATTTAGTCCAAAAATGATCAAATGTGCAGTGGCATTCTGTTGTTCAAAAATGACCAAAGTACATACTGTATAAGTACAAGACATAAACAGCAGGGTCACTTTGCAGCTACAGTTTAACCTTTATTAATGTGATCTTTGTGGATTTACAATCGTATCAAGCTAAAACTATGTATGCTAATGCTTTAGATAGAAAAAAAAGAAATTTCATATTCAGATGAAGTTGACATTGATTCATTTATGTTTAGTTATGGTCCTTCAAATTCTTGCTCATTGTACGTGGCCAGTGCATATGCTAGTCCTGGTTTTTGCCTTGTCTCCTGTGTCGACGTGATTTGATACTTGACTGAGTGGTCACCATTTCACTGCGGCCGAGCACAGAGCACTCCGTCTTGAGGCACTCACAGGCATCGATGTGGGTGTAGATATAGGTGATCTCAGTGTTGTCAGGGCAGGAGAGCTGGATCTGCCTCTCAGATGTGGCCAGCTCCTGGCAGCAGGAGCAGGTATGCTGGAAAGATCTCATTTTGGTGGAAAAGCTGAGAGAACAGAGGAATTATGTCATGAAGAAAGAATAGAACAGCACACAACAAGTTGGAAGAACTTACTATACATTCAGTTTAAAAAAACTGTAATTTAAGATACAGAGCTAAGAGATTTAGAAATCTCAGGTGAGAGAAGCTCTGGAGGAGCTTTGTCAAGCTGAAAAAAATAACCCTGATGATGACATAGTGACATCAGGGTTTATCTTTTGGGAGGGACTATAAATTAACTGCAAAGCCTCAGCTACAATTTGTGGTTGTGAATTACCATATTTATCAGACTGGAAGAGTCCAATAAAATAGGCAGTATGGAGTTGTGTAATGGGAACTGTAGGATCCAGCATTTTTGAAAGTTGACCAATATTATGAATTAGCCAGAATAGCTCAGCCTGCTGCACAGACTTTGACCATTCTTTTTAAAATCGCTAACAATTCCCTCGACTCAATGGAAATGTCATCTTCGGAATCTTGAGAGACAAACATTAATTTTAGATATCAAATATTTTCTATGACATAATGATGAGGAAAATGGCATGAGGGCCACTCACAAGGTGAAAGTACCACATGCTCCACTGCAGGATGTGACATTGACAGGGTCTTTGGAGATGCAGCCCTGGACCTCCAGGTGGACACCAGTAGTGGTAGACACACTACATGGGTGACCCTTTGGAATACCTGTGGCAGCCAGGAGAAACATACTGAGATGGAATAACATCTCATTTGAAGAGATTTACACATATATCATATCATATCATATCATATCATCATGCCCTATCTGTTGACTTCTCTAAATATAATGGACAATAAGGACCTCCCTTGGTTTTGCTTTTCTTGGGAGCAATCCAAGATGGGAATGTTGACTTCGTTGCATTTTTGTGTTTAGGGAAGTAAATCAAATCTAATGAAAGTTTAACTACAAACGAAGAACCTGTCTGACTTCTCTGGTCTGAGCTAATTCTTCGGGATTGATATTAATAAACTTCTGAAAAAGATGAACAAATTTCTGATGTGAGGTGTAACTGGCAAATGATGACTTGAATGTAGAGTTTGTCTCAACTAGTTAATCATAAGGTACTTACCATTACCATTTCTAAGGCAGATAAAGTATTTTAATAATTACTATAAAGCTTCATAGAGCTTTATTGTGTCTTACATGAACAATTACAAGGTATCAGGATTATATGACTTAATAATGCCAAGTATAACTGATCACAGTGGCTCTTCTAATTTTGTAGGAAATGTTACGAGCTTTTACGGGCATCATGCGGCATTTGTGTAACAAATTAAGAGAAGCGTGTGGTCAGAACACCAGAATAAAAGACTAACAGAAGCGATACATACAGACATGGCAGCATCCATCTGGAGCTATGGTCTCTGTTCCCTGCATGAGACACACATTCACATCATTATTTTGTTTCATGTTGTGGAGCTCTGAGCTAGACAGCAGCTGGTGGTGTGCTTACATCTCTGTTGTCCTGTGTTGTAACTTCTTTTCCAGAAACATGAACATCTTGGCATTTGTGTGTGCGACCTTTGTATTACTTACATTGTGGGGACCGAAACCTGTTAACACACACACTGTGGGGACTTGGCCTTCACAGAATTTCAGGGTGGCAACATGGTTTAAAGTTAGGTGTTAGGCAAGTAGTGGTTATGGTTAAGGATAGGAAATGAATGTAAGTCAATGTAAAGTCCCCAAAAGGAATGAAAACACAGCCTGAGTGTGTGTGTGTGTGTGTGTGTGTGTGCATACGGGTATGCATTCATTAGGGTTGTAGGGAGGACAGACAGTCTTAGCCTCAATGGTGACGAACTGATTAGCAATCTTCACACATTCAAACTTCACACACGGATTCCCAGTAGGAGCCCAAATGAATCCAGGCTGAAGAATATCATAACAGAATTTTGGAACACAGTCTCCCAGACAAGGATGCATCAAAGTCACTATTATCTCCATGTCAAAATATGTAGTGACCCTGCTGCCTTGTCTGATCCAGTTTTCTAATTGTTAGAATTGTCAGTTGAAGATGCACTTTGCCGCGTGGTGATTTGTGCTTAGTCTGAACATGGAGAATTAAACTTGTAGAAGTTTAAAGGACATGCCAGACATTTTGTAGAATTTTGATATTTTTCAAACATTACAGATGGTTTATTGTTACTTTTTCAAAGCACAGCAGAGTTGAAAGTTTTAACTTCTATTTCTATTTATCTTTAGTCTATATTTCAAGCAGCTTTTAGCTTAAAACTTGATTAAGAAAGTTACTGAGGACTGCCTTTACATAGTGTAAATCTAAAAACAAGAAAGAAATTATGTCCTATGGTTGTGATGTAATAGTTGTAATACATTCTATAAACAGCACACCCACTGGCTCGAAACTGCAGAAAAATAGGTGCATGTAGATCTGGTAGCATCATTACTTTTTGTAAATGACAGTCTAGATATTAGAGATGTTAGTAAACTTATAGATATAAAATGTATTTCTCCTCATTTATTCATTCTCTCTCCAAACACACACTCACACACTGTATGTGTAAACACACGTATGCCAACCTTTAATATGTGTGTGGAGTTGTTCGACTGTGAGATAATGCAGCTTGTCGGAACACACGTCCCACAGCACTGGCCAGAGATGATCTGGTACTCATAACCCTGAACAAGAGACACAAACAAACATAAAAACAAAATATAAAAATGTAAAACCATCACAAGATCAGGTCTGGATGAAATTATTTAGGGGGAAATTTACTAAACCTGTGACAAATTACTGTGAGGTGCAGAAAATATTGTTGTGCTGAAATTTTTATTTAGCAGCGTGTTTACCAAAACTGGTAATGTAAATGAGCATAGCCGCAGCTGTGCTGGTTTGAGTACACCTCCTCTTTGGATGTGTTGCCTCAAGGCTGTTGTGCATGTGTGGGCTGAGAAGAAGTGTAGGAGAAAGTCTATATTTAAAGCAACCAAACTTTAATATGGTTGGAAAAAAATCAACAAACACATTTTGGAAGGGCAGTCACTGAGTCTCATGCCAGTCAAACCCTCTTTTATTTCCTTCAGTACAGAGCTTAACATTAAGCTTGTTTTTTGGGCAAGTAGATGAGATGCTCTACTTGCCCGAGAGCCAAACTTGCTTGTTCAAAATGGAAAGTGGAGGCCTATTAAAAAAAATTTGGACCAACTTTGAACAAGTAACAAGTGCCCCTAAATGAAATAATTTTGGTGTACATCCAAATACACTGCCTGAAAAAGTTAAGGGACCACTAAATCACACATGAGATCCTGATGAACAAATTATTCATGAAACCCTTTACTAATGTATAATTTGTACAGTACAAAATGACACAACCGTCACTGGAAACCAAAATAATCAATGCACTGAGGCTGTATTCAATATCACACTGAAAGGCTAAGTGAAATTTTTAAATCAATGGCTCATCCAGGTTGTGTGAATTTCATCACGACAAATCATAATGTGACCCAGAAGTGTGTACGGCCCTCACGTGCCTGTATGCACTGACAATGTCTGGGCATGCTCCTAATGAGTCGGCGGATGGTGTCCTAGGGGATCTTTTCCCAGACCTGGATCAGGGCGTCACTGAGCTCCTGGACAACCTGTGGTGGTACTTGGTGGTGTCAGATGCACCAGTACATAATGTCCCATAGGTGTTTAACTGGATTTAGGTCAGGGGAATATGAGGGGCACTGAGTTGTATCAATGCCTTCACCATCCACCATGAGGCTGGGCATTGTCCTGCACCAGGAGGAACCCAGGGCCCACTGCACCAGTGTAAGGAGGTGGTACTAAAATCAAGTACCAGGACTTTCTGTCTAAAATGTTTGTGTGTGTGGCTACATTGTATTCAGAGGTGTTCCTAATATTCTGACCCTCTCACATGTGGAGCTGGGGAGGACAAAAATACAGACACCAAATATAATGTAGTTCAGTACAACACCACCGTTAACTATGACCTCAGTAATGAACAGTTTCACCAAAAACTGAAATATTTTGAGCTTCATCAACACAGATGTTAAGGTAGAAGTGTTGCATTGAAATGCACACAGTTGTACAGGTGTACCTAATAAAGTGGCTGATCAGTGTATATCAGTAGTTTCTTCTTTACATGCACATTCTTTTTCTACTCCTCTTGTTTTCTTGTTTCCTCACTTCCTTGTGGAAGAACATTATACATGCACATTGAGAGCCGATGTCCCAGAGTCAAATTCCTTGTGTCCAACACACCTGGCCAATAAAGCTGATACTGACTCTGATAATACTGTAAGGTCTAGACCTTACTATGTAAAGTGCCCCATGGTTGTTGTGAACTGGCTCTATACAAATAAAATTGAATTGAATGGAGATGAAGGACTTGTGCCTTTTTTGTTAAAGATATTTTTGTTTAATAAAATTACTTTTGAAATCGGCATAATTTTTGTTGAAATGAAACTCAATATTTGGTTGAGCACACTGTTGCAAGAAAGCACTGAAAATGTGAGAAAAATAAACAAAACCGTATCAAGGCTACAAGTGATGTATTACTTCAAGTTACAAACTTTACCATTTTATTTAATGTATGCTGAAACATATTTAAATTCATTGGTGGAAAATAACAAAATACATTTACTCAAGTACTGTATTTAAGCAAAGACAAAGGTTGGGGTGAAGGGCCATAAGAGGAAAACAGCTGCCCAGAGGTTAGGAGAAGACGTAGAGCCTGCTTTTGGCTCTGGGATAAGAGGGATGACACTAGCTGAAAGCCTGGAGGAGAGGAGCGGTGATTTGGCCACCAGTACCCACCAACTGGGGAGTGTTGTTGTTAAGAGGTGAAAGACCCTGAGGCGATTGGGCACCACCTGATGGCCTCTCCCCCTGATTAAAGCTACATCGGTCAAAAATGGGGGTAAAGGCAGCTCTGATGTAATGTACACAAGGTCCAACTCAGGAAATTTTGGTCAGCTTTTAGTCTGAGTTTGCCTGTGGCTGATCAATAGATAGATAGATAGTTGCCAGTCCGTTGAGATTCCTTTCCGAGACAATTTGGCCCTACTTCACTTCCTGACGAAGAATATCTCTGTTTCTCAACGCCATTTCCAGTTCCCCTGCCTTTGCCTGCAACCCTTGATGCTGTTCCAGCCTCAGTCTGCATACCGACTACTACCCTCTCCACCAGGCCCTGCACTAATTGGTGCATATTCTCATATCTGGACTTGTAAAATGATTTGTTCGAATTTGTTTGTGCTATTTTGTATCTGCTTAACTACAACCCCAGCTGGGATGGTATGATCACTGTATTTAGCTTTAATTTTGATTTTACATACCGTCCCACCTTTTCCAATTTGGGGTTGTAATGCATTTCTATATATAAACATTTAAAAACCATATGTTTGGTGTTATCTGTGTGTTTTTCTGTTATTTGCTCACTCCTGACAGCAGTATCAGCAAAGAAGGGAAAGCAGGACTGAACTGGACAGACCATAAAGCCAGATGGAAAAAAGCAAATGTGTCAGGGGTCTGTTTTTATGAACATTTATGTCAAGTAGAAAAGTTACAGTGACATTACTGCTGTTGTTTGGGAGAGAATGTGGTCCATGAATGTGATTGTCTGTGAAGTCATACAGTTTACTATATATGAGTCAACCTTAAAAATGTGTGTATGCATGTAAATGAGAGAAGAACAGAAAAAGACCAGTCTTACCAGTCTGCAGTTCGTGTCACATGGTATAGGCTGACATTCTATCACAGGCAGATGGCTGCTGGCATCTCTTTTTCTACTACAGGTGCACTTATCACATGGTTGCATGGGCACCAGATCTCCAACCTTAATAGAGAAGGTGAAAGGGTCAGTTTACATTAGAAGGATGGAAACATTAGAAACACCTCTGAATATTACAACACTGCAAAAAAACTACAACCTAAATGATACACATATTGTTAAATTTAATACCTATATCAAAACCAGAACATTTATTTACATTTAAACATTTATGAGAGGAGAATTTATAACTGAATTTACTGGATTGCATTAGATTTTACATATGAACCTCTTAAAACAGCCACTGAGGGTATGGTCATAATTATCTTATGTAGGGATGGAAGAGTGATATGAACCAGCTGAACCTGGAATTTGTATTGCTTAAGAATTCAACTGTCTATTTACAAATGTTATTCTGTTGGATGTTACATACTCTAATGGAAATTGCTAGTTTCATAACACTACACAACTAATACACAGTTACCTACAATATTGCTCTCAACAGAACTAGGGCACTGATGCCACAGTGTAGTCATACATTGCATTTATATCAGCGTAGTAAATTTAATTGTCATAACTGAATGTTCATGAGTAATGGCATTGTCTTCTTATAAAAGCCTATTATTCTCAGCTAAGATTTCAGTAACCTCTGAAAAATCACAGCCAATCAGAAAAACCTTTCACCATTATCAGCATTTACTGTGTGTAGAAATTTCATTTCCATATCTACACCATGCACATGCCTTTCAGGTCTTTGTTATAAAAATTTCACAATTTCACAGTCTATGCGCTACGGAGCCCCTCTGGTGACAATAGGGAGGGAAAAACGATTCTGTGGCCAGGACTTACTAAAATATGGGAACATAGCAGTGGATGGTTTCAACATCATTTTGTGTCCCCTTATGTTGCATCTGGGAGGCAACACAGTAACTTGTGTCCCAGTATTATCCCATCTCCTTCCCACGGTTTATTAAGTTGCAGATACAACATAATATTCTCCTTCCCTGAGAATGTTTTTCACCTCTAATAGCTATTCTAGTCACCTCCCATGTTAGTACATGTGAGATCTCACCTGATATTCGTGGTTGTTTAAAACACAAATGTCCATTTTTGGCACTAGGAAGAAAACAGGCAAACCAGATAATGAATTTTAAATGTGTTGAAACAAGCACAGTAGCAAAGTTCAACCTGGCTATGCAGTTACAATGACTTGCATACTCACCACAGGAGTATTTCAAACAGCAGACTCCCATCGTAGTGGTTAGACTAAAACCAACAGCGCAGGATGGAACAAAAGGAGAGCACGAGTTCACATCACAATCTGGTCAAAAACACAGATGGATGAATTAAGAAGGGAAACTTCACATCAGGAAATGACAAATTACAGTTGTTTCATTAACAAACCAGTGCTTATAAAGTACTCAAAAGGGCCTTGGTTTTCACAACAGGCATGCTGTGGTTTGTTGTCCACTACAATTACAATATATACAGCTGCAATCAGAGATATTCAACCCCCTTACCTCAAAAGACATTATAGCGATGTTGATGAAAGATAGACAATAAATGACAACAAACCTTATTAAACATAAAATATATATCGATACATATTTGAGTTACTTTGACAACAGAATTTGACTGAAGTTCAAATGAAAAATGCAACTCTTTTAACATGTGCAGTAGTATTCAACCCCCAGCTTCAGTACGTTGTTAAAAGTTATAAAAGATAAAGCATGCTCCACAAACGTTTTCGGTAAGTGCTGACAAGCTTCTTACACCTCTCAATCAGAATCTTTGCCCATTCTTCATGTGCAAAAGCCTCTAGCTCAGTGATGTTTGATGGCAGCAACTGCCTTCTTCATATCCCACCAAAGTTTTCAATTGGATTTAAATGTGGTGACTGAGAAGGCCACTCCAGGATATTCCAGGATATTTTTCTCAACCAAGCTTTGGTTGACTTGGAGGTGTGCTTGGGATCATTGTCTTACTGGAAAGTCCAGTGATCACTAAGGTTAAATTAATCAGCAGAAGGCATCATGCCCCTCTTTAAAATGGCCTGGTAATTCTGGGAATCCATGATGCCAATACATGGTCAAGTTTGCCAGTTCCTGCTGCAGAAAAACAGCCCCGCATCATCAATGACCCACCTCCATGCTTGACAGTGGGGATGGTATTCTTCTGGTCATAAGCCTTTGAGCCTTTCACATGCCAGGCATACCGCTGGTCCATATGTCCAAACAGTTCCAGTTTGGTTTCATCAGTCCATAGAACTGTCTCCCAAAACATCATTCATTTTCTGTGTTGATTTTATGTATCACTCAACTCATAAAGAAGTGATCTAAAGCAGAATTTTGCTCTTTGAAAAAACTTTAATTGATAAATCCTTAAAATCTTTGGGGGGGATGAATATTTCTGATTGCAACTTTACGTATAATGTCCCACTTTTACTGACCTCCTACAAATACCCTGCCATATGTAATAAAATTCCCAACATCAGTCATCCTTTGTCATATCAAATTGAGCTGGGTTTTTTTGTACTACAGTTATACTGTAGGTCCTATAAAGTAGAATTCTGGCTGCTTGTATAGCTAGTATATAAACACCTAACAGCTGATGACAGGCAAAACTTTAAAAGCAAAGTCTACATTTACAACATCTGCATCTGAGGTTCATAAGCAAATGGTATCAAATTTACACCTTTTTATTTTTACAGGTGTTGACAATGGATAGATTACACATTGTGTTAATAATGAAAATACAGTGTATATAAATATATATATGAATAAATACAAAGGACATTTAGGAGTTGCTACCTTCGGGGTGGTCACTTACCACACTTCTCCCTTTGACAGCAGTTAACAGTGTCATTGACCTTGATCTGACCCTCTTGGTCACAAGTGAGCGGTGGGAATGTTGGACAGGACACATGACGGCAGGTGACCTGCAGTGTGTCCTCTTCACATATACATTCCTCACAGCCTTCTGTCCATGTTGCATTGGCCTAAAGCAAAAATAATTACAGTACAATTATGGCAGGAGTCATCAACTATTACTGGACTGTCAGAGGTTTACTGTATGTAAAAGGGATAAATGATTTACCTTAGCCCATTTTCCATTTGCCATTCGACAAACCTCTATTAGAAGAAAAACAACCATTTCCATCAATTAGATTTTTGGTTAGCCTGCCTTGTGAACTCAAGCTTATTTGTTTTAAACAATTGCTCTGTATTATTGGACCAGTACATACATAGGTTTCTATTAAAACTAGATTAATAGTCCTTAACCCATTGCTAAAGCGCTGTGCTAGCCAAAGGTGGTTGTACTAGAGTAGGTCCATCAAAAAGCGCAAGATGTAAATAAAATACAGCTGTTGCCATACGGTAATGCTAATTCCTCTTACCACAGCTGGGAAGACATTCTTTTGAGCTGGAAGAGAGGAGGAAGGTGCCATTTGGGCAGTAGCAACCCTCCAGCATCATATCTGACATGGCACTGAACTCATTAACAGTATAAATGAATTTCTGGTTGTACCTGCAGAAACAACAGCATACAGTGTGAATGCCACACCTTGTCATTTTATGTGGCTCAAAGTGTAAATGAATGAAAATTGATTGGCTGTGATGAAAAACAACATGCTGGTGAATCACTGTACCAGCAATCACAGGTGTGCTCTACCAGGGGGCCACATGCGTGATACACTTTGGGACTTGGACATTTATATTCTATCACAAGATGGAGAGAGAACAAACATCATGCCTTTAGTAAAAGCCACTGCTGTGATGTTGGTGAGTTGTGAGAGTGTGATAGTGCTTGACATTAAATATTTAAACTTTAAAAATGACATTTTAGGTGCATACCACAGAGTCCTTTGGTGGCACTCCTCCAGTCAATACATACTCCAACCTCAGCACAGGCAGCAGCGTAGGTTTGTAAACTGGTACAGCCAATGCTAGTATTCATGTGGCACACATCAAACTCACAGGCCACAACAAATGGAGTGTAGTCAAGGATCTTATGGCAAGCGTCAAACACACTGGGGAAGGTTGGATTTATAATGAGTATGAACATTAGACACAAACAGAATGCATCATTGCACATAGAGCTGATGCAAGTGAATAATCAATCAATCAAATTTATTTGTATAGCACTTTAAAAAACAACGTCTGGTCAACCAAAGTACTTTACATGGCAATGCAAATCTGTAGCATTCTGGTTTCTGCTGATTTTTACTGTCTGGCATTCCATAAGCATGAAAATATGTTAAGTTCAAACTCCTACTTAATTTCTATGGCATTTGCTCACTTGCTGTATGTAAGGTGAATTGAACTGAAGGTGTCCCTAACTATTGGTAAAATAAAATAGAGGAAAAAAGAGAGGAAGAAGAAGAAAAAGAAGAAAACATCATTTTATGAGTTCTTACGGGCTCAAGAACCAGGCATGCCAGGTATGCCAGGCAGACTAGCAAATTAACCTGTGGTTACAAATGACAGGTGCCACTTCTTTCAGGTTTTCTCATTTTCCTCTTACCTGCTCTTAATGATCTCACAGATGGTTGTATTGCAGGTATTAGGACTAGGGAGCGGTGTCGGGGGAACTGGATATTCACAGTAACTGTCGTTGGTGTGCCATTCGTGTGCCATATTAGGACAAGAAGGATCAATTTTGCCACTTGGTAACATGCAGTCATCCGTCCGGTTATTGTCACATGTGCCTAAAGAAATCCTTATCATTAGTCAAACCAAGACTCAACTCAAGTCAGTCCTGCACTTCTGTCTTCCTGTTTAATCACTAGAATTATATGAAAGCCATTTTAGTGTGATCTTATTTTTCAAGAGACAATCACACTGAAAGCAGAATCTGTCCTAGTACGATAGGCACTATCTGCTGTAAGTATCATGCACAAAATAAAGAGTACTATAAATACAGATGCCATGCAATATATCAACTAACGTTCATAGTCTACATACAGTAAAATGCTACTAGTTTCTGCTGCAGGACTCACCGCACTGTCCCTGGGTGTTCCCATGAAATATACTATAGGACAAAGAGATACTGAATATGAGCCCTGAGAAGGAGATCTTGGCATGGATTTTAGGGATGATGAGCACTGTATCAATACCGGTGGTGGTTATACGAAAGTCACCAGTCTGGTATGCAGGACTTAAAGGCTTGTCATTCACAGCAATCTAAAACAAAAGCATTATGAAAGTAATGTCAGAAATAATCCCTTACAGATTTGTTTGTGAGGTTCAGTGTATCTTACAGTGGTGGTACAGAATGAAACCCTTCTTTAGAAGGTTTTAGAAATAAGGATGAGATCAGGTTTGTATATACAGTTGTATGCAGAAGTTTGGGTATCCCAGGGCAAATCCATCCATTATCTATACCACTTATTCCTGAATGAGGTCATGGGAGGGCTGGAGGTGTATTTGATAAATGCATTTGACTGCAGGTACATACATGTACACTCACACACCACACCCACCCACACACACATGTCCATCCATTATCTGTCCCGGGGGGTGGGGGTTGGTTGGGCAGAAGCCAATCCCAGCTTTCCTGGGCTTTTTCAAGGCTGGAGAGTGATAGAGATGGGGAAGGAGGGGTGGCAGGGCAGTAAGGCGTAAGGCCTTCCTGACCTGTCTAAACATGTCTGCTCCTCGGTTCCTTGCCTACGGCTCAGCCTGGCTTTAAATCCTATCATAGTAGAGAATCAGCTTTATTAAGCTGCTGCCCCCCAGCAGCCCAAGACTATAGCAGCATAACTAAGGGAAGGCTCGGGGTCACCTGATCCAGCCCTAACTATAAGCTTTATCAAAAAGGAAAGTCTTAAGTCTAATCTTAAAGGTAGAGAGGGTGTCCGCCTCCTGAACTGAGACTGGGAGTTGGTTCCATAGGAGAGGAGCTTGATAGCTAAAGGCTCTGCCTCCCATTCTCCTTCTGTGGATTCTAGGAACCACAAGTAAACCTGCACTCTGAGAGCGAAGTGCTCTGTTAGGATGATAAGGCTCTACGAGGTCTTTAAGATATGATGGAGCCTTGTCATTAAGGGCTTTGTATGTTAGGAGAAGGATTTTAAATTCTATTCTGAATTTTACAGGGAGCCAGTGGAGAGAAGCTAATATGGGAGAGATATGATCTCTCTTGCTATTTCCTGTCAGTACTCTGGCTGCAGCATTTTGGATTAACTGGAGGCTTTTTAGGAAATTATTGGGACATCCTGATAGTAAGGAGTTACAGTAGTCCAGCCTGGAAGTAACAAATGCATGGACCAGTTTTTCAGCATCACTTTGAGACAGGATGCTCCTGATTTCTGCAATATTGCACAGGTGAAAGATTTCACACATCATTTGCATGCAACTGTAAAGCTCAACCAGGCCAAAAAAGAGGAGCTGTGTCAATGATACTGACTAGTTTGAATTAAAAATGGAGAATGTTAATGAGTTACCTGGTTTGTGAAAATGCCATTAATGTCCTTCTGTGTGATAAAGATCTTGTAGCTTTTGTAGAAAACAGTAATGGACTGAGGACAGGACAAGCCATCAGATGAACCACAGTAGTAGTTATCGATTATAACACTAAAGTTGTATTTGGGCAAGATCTCTTTCACCAGCCAGTAGGAACAATTGCCTTGAAAACTATAGTAGGTTCCATCGAAGGTGACGTAATGAGGGTCTCCCCAGCCATAGCAGATACCTTCATTTGATACAGATATTATGTTTTAAAAATGACATTTCAAGTTATCTGTCATCTGGTGAACATTGTTAAAAAAAATATAAGCAAAATAAAAGATAAAAAAAAACTAAACCAAACATTGCTACATTTAAAATTTTTGTATGATTAAATTGATGCTTTTCAACCCAAGCAGCATAGTGATGACTTACACTGGCATTCGGAGTGGGAGCAGCAATCATCATCATCCTTCACTTCAGTAGCAGGGAAGTTATTTGCGCACACTACAGGTTTTTGTGTTGGACATTTTGTGTCGTTAGAACAAATCTGTTTCTGAGGAGTAGGCTTAGAGATTGTTCCTGTCACTATAGGTAACTCAGATGTGGAATGTCTAATTGTTGTTTCAGCTGTGGTAGAAGGTGAAGTGGTTGTAATAGACATTGTAGGTGGCTGAGTTGTAGTTGTTGTTTCAGTTGTAGTAGAAGGAGAAGTATTTGTAATAGACATTGTAGGTGGCTGAGTTGTAGTTGTTGTTCTAGGTATGGTAGTAGGTGGCTGAGTTGTAGATGTTTCAGTTGTAGCAGAAGGAGAAGTATTTGTAATAGACATTGTAGGTGGCTGAGTTGTAGTTGTTGTTCTATGTATGGTAGTAGGTGGTTGAGTTGTAGATGTTTCAGTTGTGGTAGAAGGTGTAGTTGTTTTGGTGGTTGAGGGTGTTGTAATTGTAGTAGAAGGAGTCGAAGGTGTTGTACTTGTAATTGTAGTAGGAGTCGAAGGTGTTGTACTTGTAATTGTAGTAGGAGTCGAAGTTGTTAGACACATACAGCAATTGAATCTAATCTCGTAATCAAAACACTCTTGCTGAAGCCCTTGTTGCTTGTTGTTGCACAGGAGACCCACATCTTTATTGCACGTCACAGCTTGTCCCAGCTGTGATATAGGAAGCCCTGGGTGAAGAACAGCTCTACACTGGACGTCTTCTGGAGCTGGGCAAACATGATAGCCAGCAGAGATTATCTTCCAGATGGATTCATCTTCTCCACCTTCAGGTCCTGGTGTGGGCTTGCCAAGATTAATCCAGTCTGACCAACCACATGTAAAGCAAGGTGGATGAGTTGGAGTTGTTTCAGTTGTAATAGACACTGTAGGTGGCTGAGTTGTAGTTGTTGTTCTAGGTATGGTAGTAGGTGGCTGAGTTGTAGATGTTTCAGTTGTGGTAGAAGGAGAAGTATTTGTAATAGACACTGTAGGTGGCTGAGTTGTAGTTGTTCTAGGTATGGTAGTAGGTGGTTGAGTTGTAGATGTTTCAGTTGTGGTAGAAGG